GGTACCGTACACCTCCCCCCCACCCCAACCTGATGACTTAAGGAAACCTAAATATAGGCCAAAAGTGCAAACTCCTCACCACCATTACCAACTGGAGAACAATGGGCTATTGAGAAGAAAAGGGAAATCAGAGGATTTTGATTACCCTCTTCCTCTCTTCTGCCTGCCTAATCCTCTAAGGAGCAACGTAACAACAGTTTGGAAGAATTTGTCTTTTGCCAGACTAGAAATTGCCCTATCATTTTATTGATCCCACTAATTTAATGTTTTTCCCCCCTGGTTCCTTGCAAAATACTTCCCCTTTCTGGGTCAGAGACATAGTTCTACAAAAAGTATGGGCTGAGTGTTCCCGTACACCCAGTCCACTCTGTGAATGCCAATGGTCAGGAGCAGATCTTCACAGCTGAAATAATTTACCAGGCCCCTGGCAAGATATTCTTTGTCTTTTAATTCACCTAAGGTAGTGTTTTTGGAAGGCAAATGCTTCCAACTGTCTCTATTTGTTAATTTTACTCTCTCTGTCTTTTTCTCTGTTTCCCTGCCTCCCCCCACCCCCATGCTTGGTAATATTGGTATTTCTAGCAGCCTGTATCATGCGATCAAATGATACATCAGAATTCTGGAAAGATATATCCTCTTCTCTATGTTTTTGAATGCATGTGTCTTTGTATAAAAATATGGTTAGGATTTTGCATTAAAGCTAAAATTACCCACACAAAGATATCATTTGATAAATTAGTATGTTTGGTTTAGATCGAAATTTTCACCTAAGTAATCAATATGTGCTTTGGTTCTATGTGCTTGATAACTATCAACCTGAATTTTCAAAGAAAAATCACTCAGCATATTTGTGTATGTTTGTGTGATTTGAGTATAATATGTCTGGTCACTAGCTCAAACATTTAAAGATCCTACAATTACACAAGACTGAGATTCTGGTGGAAAGTTAGGAGAACATCTATATTAGTGGTTCTGTCGGAGACTTCTGGTATTTCTAGTAAAACAATCATGGTGATGATAGGGGAATTTAAACTTAATATATAAAAATAAAATTGAAATGTAAATATATGACCAATAATTAACATCATAAGCCAAACTAAAGTTACAACACTTGCCAAAAGAGGGTCAAATTATGGCTTGCAAAACTGGGGAAATGGAACTCCCACTTATTATGGATATGAAATGAGATAGGAAAGAAAGGAAAAATTACTCTATACTGTGGGAGAGAGAGAGAGACAGAGACAGAGAGAGGTGGGGGGAGGGAAGGAAGGAAGGAAGGAAAGAAGGAAGGAAGGAAGGAAGGAAGGAAGGAAGGAAGGAAGGAAGGAAGGAAGGAAGGAAGGAAGGAAGGAAGGAAGGAAGGAAGGAAAGAAGAAGAAAGAAAGAAAGAAAGAAAGAAAGAAAGAAAGAAAGAAAGAAAGAAAGAAAGAAAGAAAAGAAAGAAAGGAAGGAAGAAGAAGAAGGAAGAAGGAAGAAGAAGAAAGAAAGAAAGAAAGAAAGAAAGAAAGAAAGAAAGAGAAAGGAAGGAAGAAAGGAAGAGAAAAAGAGAGAGAAAGAAAGAAAGAAGAGAAAGAGAAAGGAAGGAAGAAATAGAAAGGATTGATCTTTCTCCATAATCATAAAAGATTCAGCAGCATGGAACATATATGTTATAGAAACTTGTTCAGAAAAAAAGAAGTCAGTGTTCTTAGCATAGCACTTGGACGCAGGCACTGATCAAAGGCTTAATAAATGTTTGTTGAACTTAACTGAAGAACTCCTCTAAGTGGAGGAGTAACAAGAATTCACATTTATACAGAATTTTACAAACCTCTTTCTTCACAACAACCTTGTGGCAAGTAGTACACATGTTGTTATTTCCATTTTACAGCTATGAAAATTGTGACTTACCCAAGGTCACATAGCTAATGTCACCCAAGGTCTTTTGACTTCTGACCCAACTCTCATTCCATTATACCAGGAAAAGACAAACAACTCTATTTGTCACAAGACTTAGTAAGCTTTCATTTTCCGGCATTCGTCCCATCCATGCCTGATTATATAACTACACTTCCTAGATAACTGGTTTCCAACTTTTGCCATGACCCAATTTGAGAGTCTTCCCAGAGGCTAGCAGCCCATTGAGCCTGAGAACCTCTTGTGTGGAGAAGCAATGCTCATTCACGCCACTGAGAATCCTAAGGTTTGAATGGGAGAATAATAACTCACTTTTACTCAGGGCTCAATAGCTTACAAAATGTTTTCCTTACAACAGCCTTTTGAGGAAATGATAAAACAAAAGAAAGAAGAGAAAGAAAATTTGTGAAAGGAAGGAAAGAATGAATGAGAGAAAAACAAAGATATCTTTGATGGAGGAAAAAAGAGAGGATCATTATTATTAGGTTGCAATCACCACTTTAGATGCCCTCGTAAGGCTTGTCTAAGCATCATACATCATTTCTGCAGAGGAAAAAAAACTTCCATTTTCAATCCAATCTAACAAGCACTCAGCAAATACTTAATATATGCAATGTACTGTGCTAGGATACAGTGATTAAGTTAAAAACAACCCCAGCCCTCAGGGAGATTACATTTTACTTACATTTAATTTACATGACACTTTACTGGAAGAAAAATTATAGCATATCAATTCAACAAGGATTTACCAAGCACCTACTGTGTGCTAGACATTGTTCTAGGCATTAGGGATGGAAAGACAAAAATGACTAAAATGTCCCTGCTCTCAGGTGGTTTTCACTGGACCAATCTTCCTCGTAGACTTATTTTGAAGCTTGTTACATTTTGTATGAGCATATGTTGAGCTTCTCTGAAGAACAGCACTGGAGTTTGTTTTTTAAAAAAATAAAACTGGAAGACCTGAGTTCAAATCCAGCCTCAGAGACTTGACCTTTACTAGCTGTGTGACCCTGGGCAAGTTACTTAACCCCGATTGCTTCACCAAAAAACAAAAATAAAATAACATAAAAATAAAACTGAACGGACATATTTATGTATGACTTGGACCTTAGCATTACTTCTATGTTTGGCCAAACTCAGTATTTCTTCTTATAATATTTGTTCATTATTTTCTTTCCTGTCACTACCATCAGGATTCCATGCCTGCTAGTGCAAAGGTTACAACATAATTATTGCAAACTGATCTTCATCAGGGGGCTCCTTTTCTTATATCATTTGCCTTTAATTAGTTTGCCAGCATTAAATAGCTTCCCGAAGGCAAACTCTCATGATGCTAGTCCTCATTGCTTCCTCCTCTACAATGGAAAAAAAAAGTATAAAAATGGCAGGTGATCCCTTAGGTCACTGGGCAAATTGTCCCCAAGGGTACTCTGACCTGGTGTTAAGTATATTTGGTCTTCAGTATAAGTATAGGTCCCCCTTTTTTTAACTTGCAAAGCCTCTTTGACTTATGATTACCGACACACATGCAAATCTCTCATCATTTATTTTATCAGAGTTCAAGGGTTCATTAATTTAACGGACTTTGTTCCTTACTTTTAATTGAATCCACATTTCTCCCAATAAAATTTGGGAGCAGCTATAAACTACATAACAGTATAATGAGGAGAAAAGGATCACAGAAAAAACAAGTATAACAGGAAACCACAGCATTCAAAGCATCTTTTCATATAAATTTATTTTTATACCAAAAGAAAAAAGGAAATATTTTTATTGTATAGTATAAAATTATCCCTACTAAATTGAAGATGGGTTTTTTTGGCCAATATGCCTCTGATAAATTTATACTTTAGGAAAAAAAATCTAAAATCCACAATCTGCAGCACTTGTAGAAAAAACACCTGTTCAATAATTACACAAATACTCTTGACAGATTTCAATGGTCCATTACGTATTCTTTTTGGCAATGTCAGCTTCCTAAAGTCAATTAGCTTCTAGATTTGAAAGGCACCTAGTGACCAACATTCTACTCTTTATTCATGGAATTCATTTAATTTTTGCATAGACTTGACAAGTCTGAAAAATCTATTAAGTTAAAAAGAACAAAGAAATATATTACATTTGCTATCAGCAAACAATCTTTCTTTCCTTTAGCTGCAAGTTTTCCCCAGGGGATTAACAAAGTGCACTAGTTAAATATGTCTGTACATTTAAAACATTAAATATGCTAACAGCAAGACATTTTAAATATTTTGAATCAAATACTATAGCACAAATATAATTTACGTATTTTGCACAAAACATTACATCTGAAATATAATTTTAGATATTATATAAAAATACATATTTTTTTCTTTCCTCTTTAGAAAAAAAATTATTTGCAGGTTCTAGCATGATGTAACAATTCAAAAGAACTCAACTCTTCAGATGATCACCCTCTTGCACTTCAGGTAAAAGCCTATCAGGTTTGGCCTCCTACTGGCATGAAACTGCAGCAATACCAGGAGTCAGGTGTAGCCCCTTCTAATAGCCCAAATGCAGCATTTCATGAAGGTAAACATAAATGCCACACTCCAGTTTAATTCTAGGAATTTATTACAAAATATATAAACCATTGTGTAATAAAGCCTGTATGTTGGAATATATCTTGAGTCCAGGACACTCCCTCTGTACGTGTACACACAGAGTCAAAGGCACACATCTGAGGGTAAAATTCTGCTCAGAAGGCTCTAAGTCATGTCTCCTAGTAGTCTGACACAGCTATGAAACATCTTTCTGACATATTTTTAAAAATTAACACAGATCCTAGGAAATGTATAATTACTACCAGTAAAACTTGAGGCTCAATCTATATCTCTAACTTTAAAAGCCCCAAAGTAAGTTGCATCTTGAGCAGGATCCAGTAATGATGGGTTGGATACCTGGATACTTATTTCTTCACCAGATCTCAGTTTAAAAAATCCTCCTACATTTATGGAGTAAAAATGGAACTCAGATTTTTTTGACCAGTATTTAGTGCTTCCTCCTTTCATCAAAGTGTCAGAATTTTGGATTTTCACGTTGGTTTTAGTGACATACACCATCAGCTGAAGAGATTCTGTGGCCAAACCACCAGAAGTTTCATGATGTCTGAAACAAATGTTGGCATAGAGGTAGTAGAAGCCATCTTGGTTGACCCTTAGTTTTCCATTGCTGAAAGTCATATTGGATATATTTGCCCAACCTCTGTCATGGTACCAGGAAGAAAGATTCACTTTTCTGGAGCCTGAGCAAAAAAGAGAAAAACAATTAGAATTTAGTTCCTTTCTTGAGTATGACGTTCAACAGGTCTTTGAGCTTGGAAGCAAATCACCAATGGGTACTCCAAAGCATTAAGTAATTGAACCTCAAAACCTGCACCAGAACTGACAGTTTCATTTACTTATACATCTCAATTGTCTCAACCTTCACTTTCAATTCATGACGAGATATTTGAGGTGCATAAAAGGGAAACGAGAAACTGGATTCCAATGGCTCCAAGGAAAGAGTAAGAGACGTGAGCACATTGCTGCCTACAATCTCCTTTCCTCTTTTCCCCTCTTTTCATATTTCAAACTTAACTTGTACTCATAACTGAGACCTACAACTCAACACAGGAGAAAACGTAATTGGCACACAACAAAGAGGCTGTGGGGTATATTAGAAACAGTTCTTGATCGGGAATCAGGTGACCTGGCTCTAACACTAACTTGCTATATGGAATTGGACAAACCATTAACCAGTTTGGACCTCAGTTTCCACATGTGCGAAAGGAAGAGATTAGACTAGATTTCTAAGGATCCTTTCTGTCACAAATTTCCATTATTCTATTAAATGTCACACAAACCCTTCATGTTTATTTACTTTCTACTAAGAACATAGCCTATCAGAACAATTCATTTATTCCTATGTGTCAAAAAACGGTAAGGTCACTCCTATCCACTGTTCAGTACTGATCAAACTCATAGTAACTTAGTAACCAACAATTCCATATGTCTATTTATATAATGATAACTGATATTCATAGAATTCTGAAATGCTTCCATTTATGTTCAGATTATTTTTATTAAATTCAGATTCACTGCAAGTTGATAACTCATGAATAATAGATTTAGTAAATCTTAAGGCATAGTGGATAGAGAATTGGCCTGTGTTAGGAAGGCCAGGATTCAATTATGGCCTCTGATACATCCTATGTGTCCCCGGGCAAGTCACTAAACCTCTGAGTGTCTCCAGGCAATTCAATGACTATATAACTTGTAGAAGTTAATTTTTATTAGAAGAAGAAATTTCCTTACTGGGAGTTGCCTATGCCAATAACATCATCAGTCTACATCATACCACCCCCCCAATCATACATTAACCAGAACTAATTAAACAAAACAATCAAATCCCAGACATGCCAAATAAGAAAAATTTTACTGTATATGAAATGCTACTCTGGGTTTAAATCCCACCAAGGCATAAATCACTTTAATCCTTCTCTGAGTCTCCATTTCCTCAAGTATAATAAAGTAGTTATAATATCTATATATAATATCTATAAGACCTACATCACTGGGTAGTTGTGAGGGTCAAATGAGATAAATCAGAGTATGACAAAAGTCTTAGTGAAGTTTTAAACTATCAAAGCTTAAAATGAGACTTTTGGGGTGCCCCTGTAGTTATAACACATTTTACACTTACATTCTAAAACCTTATGTAAATACTACTTATTATTGTTACAGAATCAGAAAAATTCATGGGGGGGGGAAGAAAAAGTGAAGGGGAGACAAAGGAGGGGGAAGAAAACCATAAAGGCACTGATTCACATTGAGGTGATTTATCAATAATTCCTAGTTGGGACCAACTCTTTAAGTTCCAGAAGCAAACTCTTATTTGAATAATAAGGATCCTAATTTAAATAATATCAAGGTGAACTAACTAAATAAGGACGAAAATTTCTCTAGTCATCATTTCTTCCTGAATAGCCAACTCTTCCAGGACTGCAAATTGAAACAGTTTCCTGAAGAAATTGAAAGAAATTCAGGGCATTTCACTCTTCTGAAGTCTTCCTTTCATCTCATCTGCCCATGCCATCCCTTAGGATCAAGCCTGCTATTCTTTATTACTTCAAAAGATCTGTTATTTTACCAGTGTGGGTGCTTCCTTGACAAATGCAGCATATGCCCTGCTCCTCCCACTGTCCATATTAAGAGATGGTCTGTTTGGTTGTGACTGAAAAAAATTGTCAGGGGGTAGTCACCCTTCTGGTGATGAGCCACTGGGAACTTAGCCAGTCTGGCATATGGGTAACAGACACAGTTCAACACCAGACTTTCTGGCTTGGTAGAACTTGCCCTAAGCTTGTGCTCTGTTAATGTAGCCTTTGAGAATCATGGTTCCTTCCTTGTCATGACTGGAAGAGCAGAGAAGGACTTTACTCTGACATGATGTACTACGGTAAGACTATTTATGTGAATAATAACAAACCACAGTGAATACCATGTCCCCTCCTCTGTGATGCTTCACCAGGTCAAACGGGCAAGCAGCATTAGAAAAATGAAAGGAAAAGCTAGTTTCTCTACGTATAGAGTAAGTCTAGAAGACCTGGGTTTTGGAAAAAGGAGTTAAGTAGGAAAGGCAAAAGGTGATGACTGAGCCTCAATATCCCTGCAATGTACATTTAGTCCAAAGGGATCTTTTCTTCCCACCAAAAACTACAGAAGACTCCATCTTTATTCACCATATATATTATATAGGTGCTTCATTAGGTGGCATAGTGGATAGAGCGCTGGACCTAGAGTCAGGAACATTCATCTTTCTGAGTTCAAATCCAGTCTCAGACACTTACTAGCTGTGTGACCCTGGGCACATCACTTTACTCTGTTTGCCTCAGTTTGCTCATCTGTAAAATGAGCTGGAAAAGGAAATGGCAAACCACTCCAGTATCTTTACCAAGAAAACCCCGAAGGGAGTCACAAAGTCAGACATGACTAAACAACACCACAATGTACATCCACTGTGGGGATAAAATGGGCATCTTAACCTCAAAGAACTTAAATCTAGCTGGACAACTGACACAGAAAAATAGGAGAAGTTAAATGATTTTTTTCTCACATTCACTTTATAGCAACTCTAACTTTGCAAAGTACTTTCCCGTATTTACACATGACCCTCACAACAACTCTATAAAATAGGCAGGGCAGGTCACATTATCTCCAATTTACAGATGCAGAATCTGAGGTCTTGGATGATGTTAAAAAGAATTGCCCAAAGTCACAATGCTAGTAAGTAGCACAATCTACTTCTGAATGTGCATCCAATGTTCCCTCCCCTGTACCACATTGCAATACAAAGCAATAAAATATCATTGATGTTAAACAAGTGGTCTAGGTAAATGCAGAGGAATTCAGAGGCAGGAGAGATCACCATGGGATAGGAACATCAGGAAAGGATTCACTGAGAAGAATGCATGAAATTTAGAGAGGCTGAGAGGGATGGGAGTGAGTGCATTCCAGGCTGGGCCAAGGGTAAGAACAATGGGCTAGTCACAAGAATGTCTAGCAAGCTAGAGGGACATTAAGTAGATCAGTCTGGCTGAAGAAATGGGTTCAGATAATATATTAGTTGAAGAGCTAAATTGAGTCCAGGCCAGAGACAACTTAAATGCCTGGCCAAGGAACCTTATACTAATGGAGCTTGACCGATTCTTTACCTCAACCACCACTGTCATAACTGTAGCAAATTTGAAAGCAAGATGAAATGATGCCAGTGGAAATCAATAGCCTGAGTAACACAAATGAAGCAATGAATACTATATGGGCAAAGTGATGTTTATGCCCCCTGAAGCCCAAGACTTCTATATTGCTGTTAACAGTCAGTGAACTGGGTTCTCATTTCTCTTCATAGTTATACGTATAGCTGGGCTGTCCCGTAACACAAAATATAGCTCCAGAAGATCATCAAGGACCTATGATTTTGTTGGCCTAGGAGCTCCAGGGATACCTCAGATGGAAATTATCTCCATTAATGTAAGCCATAGCACATCTCATACTTAGAATATTGGAGAGTTGCCAAGGGTTCAGAAAACTTAAGTGATTTGCCTATAATTGTAAAGCCAGTAAGCATCAGGGAGAGGATTTGAACCCCTAGTGTTCTTGATTCTAAGTCCAACACTATCTACCACCCCAGGTTGCCTCGCATTGCCCCAAGAAGTTAATAAAAACATTTATAGCAGTCTTCCTCTGAAGTGTAGATTATTGACCACTATTGAAACTAAGAAATAAGTGGGCTTGGGAAAATGGTCTGTGTCAGAAGAACGAATCCTATTTTCCTAAACAGTAAAATGCACTAACTCATTTCACTCAGGCACAAAGTCAATAAACCTCACAAATATCCAAGAGTTCTGCTCTATTTTTTCAGCAATGATTTTATATGAGATGCCTGTAGAGAGATTTTTATACCTAAAAGTATGGTTGCTATTGCCAAATAGACTTCAGCACATCGTCCAGTGTAAGGTTTGTTACAGGTTATTTAAAACAACCTGAAAAGATAAATGTTTTTTTCATATTGTACACAGTGATGCTTCATTATTAATTTGATTGCATTTGAAATGTGCTAATATGCAAAGCAGTCTTCAGTCATTATAGCAAATTAGTATAGTTCTTTTGGAGATGCAGAGAAACTAAAGATAAAATATGTTGATGAAACATATTTAGGACCCATTTCATTGGTAAGGAGATCATAAGGAAACCTAAAGAACCCTATTTTCATATTCTACCACAAATTGCACAAGCTTACCCTCAAAGAAAATATTCCATTGGCTGCTACCAGATTATTTCATTCCAGAGAATTTCACAGAAAACTTTCCTGCACCAATTATGCCACCATGATCTCAGAAATTGAGCCTAAGAATTGGGCTCAAAAGTAGCCAGATAGTCAATGTTTCAAGTCTAAAAATATCTTGCCCAATTGTGACACAGCTGTCTGGAAGTCTCATTTATCTGGTAATATCGAAGAGCTCGAGGAAAATAGGGTTCGGCTCAACCCAAAACAGATGTTACAAGATCTTGCATGCTAAATAAAGCCCATGTACTTTACTGGTAGGAGAACACCTCAAATCCTCACTCAGAGACTATTTGCCACACTTTTATTTTGGGCATGTTTCTAATGAGTCTGGTTTCTGGTTTCTAAATGCACTGGAAGTAAGGGCCAACAAAATAAAAGTAGGAAGAAGGCTATTCCTGACAGCAGAGAGAGGTGGAAGTTAAAACCACGACAGAAAAACAGACATGAGTACTAAAAGCATAGAAAAATTAAACCATTTAGCATACACAACAATAGGTCTGATAATGTTAGGCAATAGTGAAAATGTTCATCATTATGATGTTGTCACCAAGAAAAGTTTAAATGACATTCAGTACGTTTTGCGTATTACAGCAAGGAAATATATATTTTATAAAGATTTCACTGCAAAATTGAATTTTTTGAAGTTTTGGCAACTAAAGGAATAAATTCTCATTTACCTGGAAATTGTGAGGGTTCTAGCTAGCCAATGCTCATTCTTATTATTAGATATTATATAACCATCATGGAAAAATTCTAGATTTATGTATCACTGTGGTTATTATTAATATAATATCCTGGTTGGTTTAAGTCCTGGCTCTGACATTTTTTACCTATATGTCCATGGGCAACTTCCTAAATCTCAGAGCCCCCAAACAACTCTAGAAGACATAATTAATTGAGCATCTGTACCACTGGAGGGAGATTCCACGCTAGGAACTCTCTATGCTGATGTCTTAGGTCTCCCATCTCCCAGAAAACTGATTAGTAGGATCCATCAGGATTAAGTGACTTGCTCAGGGTCACACAGCTAGTAAGTGTCAAGCGTCTGAGGCTGGATTTGAACTCAGGTCCTCTTGACTCCAGGGCCGGTGCTTTATCTACTGCCCCAATCCATAGATTTTTAAACTAAATCTTCCTTATGGAAACCATGTAAAATATTGCCTCTTTCACAGGAATGGCAACGTAAAGGGGTAGTCCTCCTGACTAAGTAACTGGTTCACTCCTAGGAGAGGTACAGAATTTTTCATCAGCTAGAAGCCTGTTTCCCATGACTCCAGCAAGACCACTGCAAGAGGCAGCTAAGTTAACAATAATCTTACTCACTTGAAAGAGTATAAACAACTCCCAACTTCAATTACTTCCTTCAACAATGGGAATGCCCGAACTTTAGTCTGAGTTTACCTAAGTCTCAGGGACCATAACCATATCAATAAGTACCTGGTGGCAATATGTCTGATCACTGGCTAAAAATGCAAACTCGAGGTAAGTATATTCTGGCAAAGCTAAGAATCAATTTCTAGAGAGAGTTTCAATGTTTGTCATCTTAAGAGCAAAATGATCTTCCCTTTGGTGGGACAAAGAACGCAAGTGATCTAGTGACTGGTTGGTAGTTTTAAGTATTCAAATGGCTGATAGGAGTCTTTGAAATGCTTCTTTGGCTGCATGACCTGAGAACTTACCTGAGGGAATATTGGTGCCATTAATAGTGAGATGAGCAAATGGCTGGGTTTTCCTGGAGAAATCCAACAAAGGATGGTCCATCATAGCTGGAGATGAAAGAAGTCATGTTAGATCCAAGAACATCAATCCATCAGGATGTCAAATATTTATATTGACCAGTGCTCACCTTTCTCTGCTCTTATATTCTCTGTCCTAACCATAAGCTTTAGTTCCTAAAATGAAAAGAAAAAAACACAAAGTTTTAGTGCAATAGCAACACTTCACATTGGTGCAATGGCTTACAGCTCTTTGAAGTGGTTTTTTTTTGAACATAAGTTCTTTATTTCATTAGGTCCTCATCACAACCTTAGACACCAATGGCTACTCATTTGACAGAACATGATCATCTTTTGCATGAAGTGGATAGAATACAAGAATGCAAGGGTACGATGATGAAATGTTTCTTTCCATTGTGCTATATTAGGTGCATGTAGGTCTTGTACTTTCATTACTAGTTGTATTGTTGATTGAATAAATTCACCTGGCTCTTCTTAGGAAACCATTCGATGCTGGCATACCAACATAGGGCATTGCAAACTATCCAAGCTAATAAGAGGGTTAAAAAAAAGCGAGTTATTTATAAAACATGGGATAATTGAAACATAATTAAAAACTGTCAGCAGGTACACAAATGGAGAGGAGATTAACCAGGGAAATAACAATTACACAGAATATGTGGTTCTCTTAAATCTTTGGGGGAATACTTTTTATGTCCTTTTCATTAGAGCACACGGCCAGTATGCCAGTTATGCGCAGCCCACAGAGAAGAGAATGATGGTCAACAGCCAGTGGTTAATTTTTTTTTAATCACAGCGCATTAAAAGTACTACACAGAAGTGTGGGAGCTTTTAGAATGCCTATCATTAACTTAAAATATTGCTGCAAATAAAAGTTTAGAAATGCAGGCCAGAGAAAGGAAGTGAGCTGCGGTCCACAAAGAGGACAGGTATTTGCTCTCAATTCAAGGCTGCCACGTCATCGAAGCCACTCAGAGACCTCTTCTAGATGCTCTGCCAGTCAAGTCATTAAGTACTAGATTTGTGCATGGAAAGTAGTGCCTTTAATCCTTTAGGGAGCAGCTAGAGATTTAGTCCCCATTTGAATCCAGACCGTCTAAATGATAACTGATTTATCTTATGTTGAGAGAGAGCACTTAATCTCTTTGTGACTTAGTTCAACTAGCTATTAAATCAGCATGCTTAATTCATGCCAATTATTTGCAGAGATATTCATTCAAAGGAGGGCATGTATACCATCTCATCAAATGTTTTGCAATGCTGTAAGAAAGAATGTCCTAATATAATATGATTACGAAGCATCAGCAAAGACTACATCCTCTAAAATTTCAAAGCTGGAAGATATTGAAAGAAAAAATGTATCCCATTCCCTTGACCCTGGACAAAAATATACCACATCACCTCAGAGAGATGAGAATCTATTCTATTTTTAAAGACCTCTCTTGAGGAATCACACTATCTTCCTCAGTAACCCAATATAGTGTTTTAAATGAAGCATAATCACATTTTACTTTAGAAACCTGAAGGTCAAGAGACTCATTCTGAGCCACGGGTTTACCCTGCTCCATCTGAGATCTAAGCCTTTCCCCAGCTCTTTAACAAGCTCTACTGGCACACTATAGTCCTAAACTTCTTCCCTTAGCCCCCATTGGGCACTGAATCCTACAATTCCCTCATTTTTACCCTTGCTGAAATTCTGTAGGGACTGATTTTACATCTCTTTCTTTAAGCGATGATGTCTCTTACACGTGTAGTTGCACCATTAGGAATTAGGCATAATTCATGCACATCAATATATTTCATATCAGATAACCCTTGGGAGGTCAATGAACTTAGGAGTCTATTAAGAATTAAATCATTCCATATTTAATATATGTTTTTAGATACCTTATTTGCCAGAAGTACATACAGAATTTTAGGAAGTGCTTTAAAAGTCCAGCGGAACATTCCATGCTGGGCAGATTCCAAAGGCTAGTAAGACTCTCTAGTCTTTCATCTCTTGGCTATCTCTAAATTCACACTTAACATGGGGAATTACATAGAAAAATAATTGCCATCTTACAACTTGGAGGTAGGAAAAGCTGAGTATGCCACAAAATTATAATTCTGGAATGGACTGGAAAAGAGCTCATCCACCCCAACCTTCTCATTGTACAGATGAGGAAAGTGAGGCTTAAGTTTTATTCTAGTTTCTAGTGGACAGGTGTCCAATAGCTAGAAACACACAGAAACAGTCTCAAGTTACTGAATAAACTTAAGGCTGGAAGGGGTCCCTCCTCATGACCTATACAGAGGTGGGACCTCCAGATTAGGGCTAGAAGCTTATGATGCCATACATGCATAAATACACACATATATACACGTACTTACATATGTACATACACATACATATATATGCACAGATATAGATAGGTAGATAGAGATAAATAACAGATTTTAATATGTAGCACACCTCAGTAGTACTTCCAATATATACAGGGCTAACGAGAGGGGGAATTAGAAAAACTTTAGAATCAGTATGTGTCCCCTTAAGGTAAGATCATTTACTAACCAAGAGAATGCAGGAACAATAACAACAACAATAGCATTTCTATAAAGTTTTAAGGTTTATAAAGCGCTTTTAAAATATTATCTCATTTGGTTCTCACAGCAACCCTATGAGGTAGGTAAAATTATTATCCCTGTTTCACAGATGAGAAAACTGAAGCAGACAGAAGTTAAGTGACTCATCCAGGGTCACACAACTGGCAAGTATCTGAGGCTAGATTTTACTTCAAGCTTCCCTGATTCTAGGCTGGGTGTTCTATCCACTACACCACTTACCTGCTTCATGTGAATAGTTATACACAACTATACATAAATATATGAATACAACTATAAAACACTGTGGAAATAAAGGCAGACATAAATAACTGGAGAAATAGTAATTGCTCATGGCAAGGTTGAGCCAATATAATAAAAATGACAATAATCTCTAAATTAATTTGTTATCAAACTACTAAAGAATTATTTTATAGAACTAGAAAAAATAACAAAATTAATCTGGAAAAACAAAAGGTCAAGAATTTCAAGGGAAATAATGAAAAAAAATGCAAAGGCAGGGGGTCCTAGAAATACTAGATGTCAAATTATATAATGAAACGGTAATCATTGAAACTATTTGGTACTGGTTAAATGCTCGAGAGTTTAATCTGTAGAGCTGATTAAGTATACAACATATAGAAGCAAACAAAGACCCCAACTATTGATACAGGGATTCAGTATTTGACAAAAAGTACCAGGAAAACAAAAACAATTTTGTAGAAACTACGTATAGACCAACATCTCATATACCAAGACCAACCATCATATACCAAGATAAGCCTCAAGGTCACATCATAAATTAGAGGAACAAGAAAGAAATTACCTATGGATAGGGGAAGAGCTCAAGATTAAATAAGGGATAAAGAGGATCACAGAAGAGAAAATGCACAATTTTTATTACATAGAGTTAAAAGTTTTATACAAATGAAATCAGTGTAAAATTAAAAGAGAAATAGACAGGTAGAGAAAAAAATCTTTGTACCAAATTTTTGTGATAAAAGCATCATTTCCAAGATACATAAAGAACTGATTCAAAATGTAGGAATAAAAGCCATTCACCAATTGACAGTAAATGAATGAGTACTTCTGAAAGGAAGAAATCCAAGCTATCAAAAGCTATATGAAGAACTGCTCCAAATCACTAATAATGAGAAAAATGCAAATTAAAGCAACTCTGAGGTTTTACCTGACATTAATCAGATTGACACACTTTACCAAAAAATTAAAATGATAAGTGTTGGAGGGGCTGCAGAAAAACGGGCATATCAATGTACTCTTGGTTGAGCTATAAATTGATATAGGCATACTAGAAAGCAATTTAAAACCATAACCCCAAACCTTCGAGCCAACAATACCAGTGCTAGACTATTACCTAAAGAAATGGAAGAAAAATAAAAGAGCCATATGTATCAAAATTAGGTATAGTAGTTTTTTGTGGTGATAGAGAACTAGAAACTAAGGGGGTTGAAGAGAATATGGCATATGAATGCAATAGAATGCTATTAACGCACAAGACACTATGAAATGGATGGTTTTGAAGAAACCTGAGAAGACTTGTATGAACTTAAGTAGAGTTGGACCCAGAGAATTATCTTATACTATGCCAACATGGACAAACAACTTTGAGACACTTAAGAACCCTGACTAATGCAATGTCCAGCCAGAGGATGGTTACTGACATCCGATCATATATGATTCCAGGAGACCAATGATGAAGTATGTTATACACCCTCTGGCAGAGGTGGGAGACTCAGAGTAAAGAAAGTTTTATATACATACATACATACTGACTACATATTTGTTACAAAATTTTGTTTTTCTTTCTCCTAGTAGCTGGATGAAGGGGAAAGAGAAAAAGAATGCTTGTTAACTGAAAGAAAAAAAAATAAAGGCAATATCCATTGTAGCTCAGGTAAACTATATAACAGCATAATGTGAATTTTTTAAAGACTCTTGTTTACTTTCAGAATGGGACTATCTTACATTGAATATGTCCTAATGAAACCTTAAGCTATATGGGATTCTCTATTTGGCAATTACACAAAACTTCCGCCAAATACTCTCCTTACATTTTACCAACTTGAAGTTTTACTACATATGTGACTCCAGCTTAATTAAGAGTTTCAACAAAAAAAAAGTTTCAATTAAGGAATCATAAAGCAAAGTTGGTCTTATATTGTTTTATCAAAGAGTGTTTTTAAAAAAATCTGTTTCTCTCAAGAACACTATAGAGAAGTTTTATTGAAAACGTAAGTATCAATCTGTCTATGACCTGAGATTATACCAACATATTGCCAATATCTGTCCTGGTATCTTTCCTTTATGAGCTTGGAAATCTCTCCCATTTTCTTTAATAGATGGTAACAGTAAATGTTCCCAACATTTTTCTAAGACTCCTTTTTACTGAGTTGAGGACAATTCTCATATTTTATAATATTCCACTATATTTGTACCTTTGGACTAAATTTTTGCAGGTACAGGCCACTGGAACCCAATTCTGTGCTATGTTTCATATGTTGCTGGACATTAAATCTTAGGGATAACAAATCAAACAACAGGTGGGACCAGGCAAG